GTGTGTGTGTGTGTGTGTGTGTGTGTGTGTGTGTGTTTGTACCTCGAAGGTCTGCACAGGAATAGCTTTGTGTCTGATGGACAGCAGCGGTGAGATGTTCGGAGTAGATGAGCTCATGTCCTGAAGAGCCTTCAGAGCCTGAAACAGTGTGTTTTCATTGTCATCATTTGTGGACAGAATATTAACATACTATTAAATGCACAATTAGTGAAAAGAAGAGGAAGTGTATTTATAAAAATGAATGAATGAATGAATGAATGAATGAATGCATGAATTAATAAATGCACGAATGAATGAATGTACAAATGAATTAATGAATGTACAAATGAATGAATGTATGAATGAATGAATGAATGCACGAATGAATGAATGAATGAACGAATGAACAAATGAATGAATGCACAAACGAATTAATGAATGAATGTACAAATGAATGAATGAATGAACACACGAATGAATGAATGAACAAATGAATGAATGAATGCACAAACGAATTAACGAATGAATGTACAAATGAATGAATGAACGCACGAATGAATGAATGAATGAATGTACAAATGAATGAATGCACAAACAAATTAATGAATGAATGAACACACGAATGAATGAATGAATGAATGAATGAACGAATGAATGAACAAATGAATGAATGAATGCACAAACGAATTAACGAATGAATGTACAAATGAATGAATGAACGCACGAATTAATGAATGAATGAATGTACAAACGAATTAACGAATGAATGTAAAAATGAATGAATGAACGCACGAATGAATGAATGAATGAATGTACAAATGAATGAATGCACAAACAAATGAATGAATGAATGAACACACGAATGAATGAATGAATGAATGAATGAACGAATGAATGAACAAATGAATGAATGAATGCACAAACGAATTAACGAATGAATGAATGTACAAATGAATGAATGAATGCACAAACAAATGAATGAATGAATGAATACACAAATGAATGCATGAATGAATTAACAAACAATAGTAACAAATAAATAAATAATACATTTTATTCATTATGTGCCTTTCTCATACCCATTTAGCAGACACTTTTATCCAAAGCAACTTACAATGAAGGAATAAAAGCAATTTGTCAGAGCCAAGAATTTTAGTAATTATTAGTAATAATTAGTGCTGTCAAATGATTAATCGCATCTAAAATAAAAGTTTTTGTTTACATAATAAATGTGTGAGTGTGAGTGTTTACCTTCTTCTCTATAGATGACAGCAGATCTTTGAGGATGGCCAGTTTAGTGACCAGATGCTCCAGCTCTTGATCTCCACCCTGAGACATGGTCTACAGACAGAGATTACGCAACTCAGAGACATTTAGCAGATTAGCAGACGCTTTTATCTAAAGTGACTCACATTTATTACACAAGCACAGAGTTACTCACTAATCACACAAAACAGAATCAACAAACACCAGAAACACAAACACACGAGCTCAAAAATCCATAATGCAATACTATAAACCGTCCGAATGAATGAATCAGATCTACTAGTCACACATCAAACCCTCAGGAAGTGATGTCACACCTGCTGGATCATTCTGGACACCATGGAGGCGCTCTGCTGATCAAAGACCTTCGACAGGATCTCCAGACCGCACAGGACCTTATCCACCTCCCTACACACACACACACACACACACACACACACACACACACACAGAGAATACTGTTTGTACATATGAATGAACGCATTTGTGTGCATGTGTGTGTGTGCTAGGGCTGTCAAGACATTCAAATTTATCTAATTAATTACATGATGTGCCTATTAATTCATCTAACTAATTGCAAATGTAACACATCAATTTGGGCTGAGACATTACCCCTCAAAAGATCAATCAAAGACATTATTGTGTTACATGAGGAAAGCACTGAATACAGAAAAGTAGCTTCAGTAGCTGAAATATTTTGATATAACAATAATAATAAATGAGTAAATTATAGTAAATGTTTAAAAAAAAATGTATACTGAAATATGAAATTATTAAAAAATGAAATTATACTCTAAATATGAAACTAAAAGTCACCGTCTTCATGGGTGAGTCACTGAAACATTCATTTAACTGATTCATTGAAACAACTGATTCATTCAGAAACGAAGCAAGTGACTGTCTTTATGAATGAGTCACTGAATCACCTGCTCACTCGATTCATTCACATGGCTGAATCATTCAGAAACTAAGCAATTGACTGCCTTTATGAATGCGTCACTGAATCATTGGTTCACTCAAATCATTCAAACGATTGATTCATTCAGAAACAAAGCAAGTGACTGTCTTAATAAATGAGTCACTGAATTATTGACTCACTCAGTTTGTTCAAAACTACAGATTCATTTAATATCGAAGAGAGTGACTGTATTTATGAATGAGTCACTGAATTATTGACTTACTCAGTTTGTTCAAAACTACAGATTAATTTAATAACGAAGCAAGTGACTGTCTTTATGAATGCGTATCTGAATCACTTGTTCACTTGATTAATTCAAACGACTGATTCATTCAGAAACGAAGCAAGTGACTGTCTTTATGAATGCGTATCTGAATCACTTGTTCACTTGATTAATTCAAACGACTGATTCATTCAGAAACGAAGCAAGTGACTGTCTTTATGAATGCGTATCTGAATCACTTGTTCACTTGATTAATTCAAACGACTGATTCATTCAGAAACGAAGCAAGTGACTGTCTTTATGAATGAGTCACTGAATAAATGAATGAATGAATGAACACACGAATGAATGAATGAATGAATGAATGAACGAATGAATGAACAAATGAATGAATGAATGCACAAACAAATGAATGAATGAATGAACACACGAATGAATGAATGAATGAATGAATGAACGAATGAATGAACAAATGAATGAATGAATGCACAAACAAATGAATGAATGAATGAATACACAAATGAATGCATGAATGAATTAACAAACAATAGTAACAAATAAATAAATAATACATTTTATTCATTATGTGCCTTTCTCATACCCATTTAGCAGACACTTTTATCCAAAGCAACTTACAATGAAGGAATAAAAGCAATTTGTCAGAGCCAAGAATTTTAGTAATTATTAGTAATAATTAGTGCTGTCAAATGATTAATCGCATCTAAAATAAAAGTTTTTGTTTACATAATAAATGTGTGAGTGTGAGTGTTTACCTTCTTCTCTATAGATGACAGCAGATCTTTGAGGATGGCCAGTTTAGTGACCAGATGCTCCAGCTCTTGATCTCCACCCTGAGACATGGTCTACAGACAGAGATTACGCAACTCAGAGACATTTAGCAGATTAGCAGACGCTTTTATCTAAAGTGACTCACATTTATTACACAAGCACAGAGTTACTCACTAATCACACAAAACAGAATCAACAAACACCAGAAACACAAACACACGAGCTCAAAAATCCATAATGCAATACTATAAACCGTCCGAATGAATGAATCAGATCTACTAGTCACACATCAAACCCTCAGGAAGTGATGTCACACCTGCTGGATCATTCTGGACACCATGGAGGCGCTCTGCTGATCAAAGACCTTCGACAGGATCTCCAGACCGCACAGGACCTTATCCACCTCCCCACACACACACACACACACACACACACACACACACACACAGAGAATACTGTTTGTACATATGAATGAACGCATTTGTGTGCATGTGTGTGTGTGCTAGGGCTGTCAAGACATTCAAATTTATCTAATTAATTACATGATGTGCCTATTAATTCATCTAACTAATTGCAAATGTAACACATCAATTTGGGCTGAGACATTACCCCTCAAAAGATCAATCAAAGACATTATTGTGTTACATGAGGAAAGCACTGAATACAGAAAAGTAGCTTCAGTAGCTGAAATATTTTGATATAACAATAATAATAAATGAGTAAATTATAGTAAATGTTTAAAAAAAAATGTATACTGAAATATGAAATTATTAAAAAATGAAATTATACTCTAAATATGAAACTAAAAGTCACCGTCTTCATGGGTGAGTCACTGAAACATTCATTTAACTGATTCATTGAAACAACTGATTCATTCAGAAACGAAGCAAGTGACTGTCTTTATGAATGAGTCACTGAATCACCTGCTCACTCGATTCATTCACATGGCTGAATCATTCAGAAACTAAGCAATTGACTGCCTTTATGAATGCGTCACTGAATCATTGGTTCACTCAAATCATTCAAACGATTGATTCATTCAGAAACAAAGCAAGTGACTGCCTTTATGAATGCGTTTTTGAATCACTGGCTCAATCGAGTCATTCAAATGGCTGAATCATTTAGAAATTAAGCAAGTGATTGTCTTTAGGAATGAGTCACTGAATCACTGGCTCACTCGATTCATCCAAACGACTGATTCATTCAGAAACGAAGCAAGTGACTATCTTTATGAATGTGTCACTGAATCATTGGCTCACTCGATTCATCCAAACGACTGATTCATTTAGAAACGAAGCAAGTGACTGTCTTTATGAATGCGTATCTGAATCACTTGTTCACTTGATTAATTCAAACGACTGATTCATTCAGAAACGAAGCAAGTGACTGTCTTTATGAATGAGTCACTGAATCACCCGGCTTACTCGATTCATTCAAATGGCTGAATCATTCCGAAAAGAAGGCAGTCTCTATGAAAGGGTCATTGAATCATTGACTCACTCGATTCGTCCAAAGCCATAGATTCATTCAGTAATGAATCACTGCTGTGTGTTGATCACAGACGCTCATCAGTTTTGCTGTGGCTTTGACTGGAACTATTTTCATTTGCGAAACTGAGCCAAAACAGACAATATTGTGTCTAAAATGTAACCGTATTAACTTCTTGTTTATTGAACTGTTGTATAAATCAATATGGCATTATTGCAGTGGTGCAGATATTGGGGAGAATCAGAACTTTTGCTGGTGTGATATTGCTTGTGATATAAATATAACTTGAAGTTTAGGCTCATATGACTGCATTCTAATAGACTCCATCAGGCATCAGTGAGTCGTCCTGCATCACGTGTTCAAGCGGCAGCTGCAGTGTGTACCCATGCAGGCGTTTGCAGGACGCCACCAGTGTCTTGTTGAGGTGAGGAAGGCTGTTTGCTCCCTGCTTAACAGCCTCCAGATCCAGAGTGTAGCTGCTCTTCAGATACTCGTGAGAGATGGTGCTCAGGCCGTTCGACGCCGTCACGCTGCGGAGACATTAACACACACGCTCATTCATAACAGCAATGGAATCATTCATTATTCATGCATTCGACAGATGCTTTTATATAAAGTGACTCGCATCGCATTCAAGCTACACTTTATTTTCAGTTCAAGTGACTTAAATAATGAAATGCATGTCAAAAAACATACAAACGCATTCATTTGCACTGATGTCGAATGAGAGAGGAACGATTATAATAAATGATGTTTATGATGAATGCTTCCCAGTGTTATTTTAGTATCACTGATATACTACTATAGTTTTATTAGCATTTTGAAATATATTTTTGGTTTTCATTTTAATACCAGTTAAAATTTTGTGACCAGTGTTTTTTTATGTCTATGTAGTTTTTTATTCATTTTTATTTCAGTTTAGTTTTAGTTATTTCATTAATAAATTAAAATGACCACTAGCTAAAAGATTTTTATTATTTTTATTTTTTATTTTTGTAGTTATATATATATATACAGTATATATATATATAACCAATTAATATAATAATAATAATGATTTTTTTATTCTAAAATAATAATAATAATAATAATTATTATTATTATTATTAATAATATTAGTATTACTGCTAAAATATTTCGATTTATTAAAATAGCTAAATTAAACCAATAAAGAAATAGATTACTCCACCATTTGTGGAAAAATTATTATAAAAATTACTTAAAATGTGATTTTAAAAATTCAGGTCTGCTGTGGTTATTTGTTTGAAGGGCTGCACAAATTGGCCAAAAGTCTGCAATTATATATCAATAATATCACTATAAAATAATAATACTACTAATAATAAATAACTACAAAGATTACTAAATTAAAAAAAAACAAATATTACTATTGTAATAGTTCACAGGGAAAAGTGTGCCTATAATAATAATAATAATAATAATGATAATTTATTTTAGTATACAATTACAATACTAATATTTATATCATAATATTAATATTTATTTATTTGTCTTAATCAAACATTTATTTTGATGAAAATAAAAATTGAGCATATATTTTTAATTTAAAGGGGTCATATGATGCGATCTCAAGTTTTCCTTTCTCTTTGGAGTGTTACAAGCTGTTCGTGAATAGATAAGATCCCTGAAGTTGCAAAGACTAAAGTCTCAAAACCAAAGAGATATTC